AGTTGAGTGTCTGGAGATACCGGAGCTGAAGAGCGGCCGGCGATTCGCTGATCACTTCGGCCGCCTCTTTGAGGGCACGCGCGGCGTTTTGCTCGCCCTGAGCGGCGATCACCTGAATTGTGTCCAACAAAACATCATTAATATCAAACATTTCACCTCAAAGACCAATACAACAGACCTTAGCCCTGGCATCTCTGGTCGCCTCGGCCTCCGCCGCCATCGATCTCTGCAATTGAACGGGAAGTCCGACGTCTTTGCTGTAATTGAATGGTAAGCAAAACTCAATTAAAAATCAATTAAACTCTTGGGTAAAGAGTGGGCGAAGTATTGGACATACATCTCAACCCTTTCCACTTTAACACCCCATGGATTGGTCGCCTCGTCGAGCGTCGCCTGCAAATTGTGGGAAATGGACTCTCTGTCGGCCAATATGTCCGACAAGTTCTTTGTGCCCAAAATGTTGCGCAAAGAGGTGGCGGCCAACAGACGGGTCGATATGGAGTAGTCCTCGACGTTGCAGATGGCGATCGTGGCGTTGGAGATGCGATAGTAGACAACGGCGTCCACTTTGACGGTCACCGAGTCTTTCGATAGGATCTCTTGCGGCGGAACATTGAATGACACAGTCCTAGGGATCAGATAATAGTCACTCTTAAGATAATGAGATAAACAATTGGTTAAGAATTGATCCATACCTGAGATCTACACACCGATAGTTGTCAATGCAGGGGATAATGAAGAAAAGTCCCGGTCCTTTGGCGCCGCCCTTCACTATATACCGGACATACAGTCAAAGCCGTTAATTTCAGTGCCATTTTATATAACTTGATGGTAAATACACACCTAATCGCCCCAAACGGAATATAACTGCCCTCTCGTACTCCTGGACCACCTATTCATCATAATTTATAATTTGGTAAATATAATATTTTATCACGTAATATCTATCATATAAATTCTAATATAGATAAATATTATAATATAGATTCTATATGATTTGTATAATTGATTCATATAGCTTATTATCGCAATGGACCCGGCTAATTGCAAGTATTGCTATTGTTGATTGTAAGTTTTATTTTACCGGTTTTAAAACTTAACACCATTGAAATATGTATTGTATTGAAATATGACCACAAAATGCCTATGAATGCAGTGGTTATCAAATCAATGTAAACACAAGTCTAGACCCGCTTTTTATGGTGGACTTCAAAACGCTTTGTTAACTAAACCCGTTTAGGTTTGCATTTAATGCATTTCGCAATCACCGCATTTCATCCAAGTCTGTAACCACTAAACCATTGATAATGCAATGGTTGGTAAAAATTGCATTAGTTAGCAGACAATTATGCGATTATAGTATTGACCATAAAATTAGGTGTTATTCGCGATACACTAATTGATTGATCAAAATTCATAAATACTTTGATGCAGAATACGAGCGAAAGTGGGAAAGTGATGGCAATGAAGAATATGGAAATCACTGTCAATAGTAGGGCACAAACGCCATCGTCGTTACCAGTATCTAAATACAAACACAATTATCAATATTACTAGATCAATTGTTTAAATGGTTTATTTATTTGATTACTACATTAGTTTCCTGGTTATTATTCTGGTCAAACAATGACTACTGGCTTGTTGTCAATCATAACTAATAATTCAATTAATTTTAATGTATTGTATATTAAACTAATGTATTGTAAAATATTATGATCTAAATCTAATTGGTTTTTTAATTTTAATTTAACCCAGATTATATATGTCACAAATATTAATGTATAAAATATTCAAAACACACACATATAAAAATACACCATGCACTTTATTGTTAAATGCATAGAGTAGTAAATTGATGATGATCGAGATAACAAAACTTACCATCGTTGGGATTTCTTTCATACATGGGTATAATCTCATCCTTATTTCTGCCGTCGGTGGTCGACATGTTTGCGATTGTATTGACCACAATATTAGGGTTAATTCAGTTCAAGTCCGCGGATATACCAGCAAAACAGCCGCACATCAAACAGAGATAGTATTGTTGATAATATTGCAAAACTACTGCCAAAATATATGGTTTATATCATCGGAAAAATTTAATTTCGCTTAATTCACACCCATTTAGACAGTGATGTGACTGTTATGTAGTTTTGTAGTCAAACTGCTTATACATGCAAACGATTTTTGTATAAACGATATAATTTTGTGTTCAATGTTTATAACTCACACACACTCTCTCATCCCTCTCTCCTTTCACATCCAATAGAGCCTTGTATTACAAATTTGTTAAATTCAAAGCTCTCTCTCTCTCTCTCTCTCTCTCTCTCTCTCT